TCAGCAGTCAGATTGGGTGTGTTGTGTGTGGGTCAAAAGAAGGGTGGAAAAGAGGCACTGTGTCATCACTGGGGCTCACTTGGAATGGGGTGGTAAGTTTTGTTCATCATGGAGGATCTTGGTTACTTAGATCAAAGAAATGTTTCCAGGGTATGAAGTATAAATCAAGAGTATGGAAAGAACGTTATTACCACACGTGTAATACTAATTTCAGATAATTCACTCTCACATTAGGAAGTGCTTAAAATTACCTCTGTAATTTAAGTAGTTTTGCATGCATTTGTGAATTTGTAGTTGTTATGCTCAAGTGTTTGATGTGTGATTTGAATCCAGCCTGTATTGTAACAAGAGTTTTCCCTTTGTACAACTTTAGATCATAGTTTTGGCAGGATACACTGTTGTTGTTTGAAAATGTTGGGTTTTGGCCTCCACAGTGTGGGTCAAAAAATAGGAAAGAAAAGTAAGGCTAAAACAGCCTGTATCTGGAGGGCTTGGAGAAAAAAATTCCTGTCTGAAACATTTAATGAATTGCAGTCAAATCGTATGTAGCCCACTTATGCAAGTAGTAAGGTCTGTGGAATTACTTTTGTGAGGAGACTTGACATTGGGAACATGTACAGGTCTGGAGCTTTAAATAAGAAAAAAAATGAATGTTAGTATCATTCTAAACATCAAACTATTTTGTCAAAGCACTTCCAAAGCTATAATGTCTGCTGCTGGCGTTCCTGTTGTTGAAGGTTATCATGGAGAAGATCAATCGGATGAATGTCTAAAGGAACATGCCAAGAGAATAGGATATCCAGTAATGATTAAAGCTGTTCGTGGAGGTGGAGGAAAGGTAAAGGAACTGAGCTCTTTATCACACAGTGTAAAGTTGTGTCTCAGCTTCTGTCAGTGAATATTCTAAAAGAGATCTTGGAAAACAAAGAAAACAACTTTTGGTTCAAATGTATTATTAGTGTCCAGTCCAGCACTATGAAATCTCATTTCCATTTGTTGTGCAGTCAGGCACAATGTACATTGTTGGTATAAATTGGAAGAGTTTTGTTAATTTCAGTGGATTTCCAGTAATTCACATAACCAGAAAAGGTGTCCTATGGATTTGTTCTTGTGAAATTAGATGGCTTCTAATTGTTACTATGTGGTAGCTTCTGTGACCTTTTTTGCCAGCAGTTTTAAATGTTGCCTATGAAGTGATTAGAAATACCATTGAAGTATTTGGTGTCTAGACACTTAAGTGTATGGTGAATTCCCTGTCTAAATCTGATTTTGCTTTGAAATAAATTTCTATAAATATGGCATGTTAGAGAATTCTAATAATTTCCAAAATAGCTATATTTATTTTGTAATTAAATTAGTTTTTCTCTGTCAATCTTGGAAACAAGAATAAGAACTAAATTTTGTACTCATCTTTATCAGTGGAATGGTAATACCTTTTTTTCTTATGGCGCATTCAGTGGGACTTAGTAGGATTGTGTTACTGGAAGCTGATAAACAATTATGCTAAAATTTAAGAAGGGAAAAGTGCTATTGTTAAGGTCATTTCCTGCTCTTTTAGTCAGGTACCTGCTTGTGTGCAACAGGGATTTTTTTTATTGTGTATTGTAGTTGTAGACATTTAGGTGTGGGGTTTTTTTTCTGTATTTTAGGGCATGAGAATTGCTCACTCAGAAAAGGAATTTCTGGACCAACTAGAATCAGCTAGGAGAGAAGCCAAGAAGTCTTTCAATGATGATGCAATGCTGATTGAGAAATTTGTGGATAATCCAAGGTGAGAAATAGATGTTTTAATATAAACACTGTAATGTTTATTCTACTGTTCTATAAACAGAATTGTTTTAGTAGTAGGTTAAAAAATTGTATTGTATGTTTCATTTGCACTATGCCAACTGTTAATCTACTCACAATTGTTCAGAGTGTATTGAATTTCATGTAGTGATGATGCTCTGAATGATTAGAATCAAAATACAGCTGTCTGGGAGACATGGCAGTGACATTTAATGACATTAATACACTTCCTTGAGTGAGCTTTCTAAACTCAGTTTGTATGTAGCAAAAAAATCTCTTTGTAGGACTTAATATACAGACCAGAATCAAGCTGTCATGGTGTTTCTGCTGCCCTCAGGTGTCCTAAACTGGTTATTCAGTCTTTCTATATTTTGATATTTAAAATAGAAGTTACACTCTTTAGCTCATGCCTGACTTGTGAAATTGAGCTTATGTGTTTTTTTGATGTAGAACTTCTTACAGGGATCTGTTTGATACTCTTTTACCTTACATCTGTTTTTCTTGAACCATCACTATGCAGAAAGCATTTATTCTAAAGAAACTGAGGGCCTGCTTATGCTGTCAAATGGGTATGAGAAAAATCTCATTAAATTCCTGGAGAATTTCTTTCACCAGTGTTAGAGGATTAACAGAATGGTCACAGAGTTTATTAGATTTATACATTGAATGAAGTTCTGCCACCTTACGGTTGTACTCTGAAATGGTGTGTTGAAATAAACGCTGTTATTCCTGAGCCAGGGGCTGCTGCATCTTGTGAATTGCTACACAGTAAATTATGAGGGGTAATAATAATTCTGAAATAATAGTGAAGTGGTTTTACTTTCATTATAATAACAAAGAGGTAGCACATCTTGTTTATGCTGTGGCCTATGAGGTTTTGCTGCAGTAGCTGGCATTTAGAATCCTGTTTCATTAGGAGACTGGGGAAGTCAAAACCTGTTAAAATCCTGCGTCATAGTAGCCTCGTTTCTACATCTTTGGCTGTTTGAGAGCAGACACTTAAACTCTATAGGAAGTTCTGACATTTACAAGACCATGTACAAGTTCAAAGTCTGTTTGGGTGAAGTCAGTTAAAGGATTGGGGCTTTACTGAAATATGTTGAAACATTTATTATTATGAAACAGGCATGTTGAAGTCCAAGTATTTGGTGACCAGCATGGCAATGCAGTCTATTTGTTTGAAAGAGACTGCAGTGTGCAAAGAAGACATCAGAAGATCATTGAAGAGGCACCAGGGGTGAGCAGAAAGTTGTTAAAACATTTTTTATGAGTGGGCACATTTTTAAAGTAATTGCTAACTCCCATCAAATTTATTTAGCAGGTAGTAATTTATTTTTAATTCTCAGTAGCTGTTATAATTATGCTGCCTAAAGTTTTCTAACTGAAAAAAATACTTTCTTTAGAAAATTATTCTCAGGGAAAAATGTAGATTTCAATATAACATTGATAAGATTTTTACTACAGTTGCTAAATACCACAAAACATTCATGCATAGGAAGTCTGATAATGCCAAAATTCACAATAGTTTCTAATGTTTTATATTATTGTTTGCAGCCAGGAATTAATCCTGAAGTTCGAAAGAGACTTGGAGAAGCTGCTGTCAAAGCAGCTAAAGCAGTGAATTATGTGGGAGCAGGTAAGTCTGAGGAGGGGTGGCTGCTCCAGAGGGATGCTTTTGAGCTTTTGACTTCATAAGATCTGAAGCCTCAAGGCAAATGACATTGAAGTGTTCCAGAGCATGACATACCTCCCCCCACCCCCTTTTTTTTTTTTTTTTTAAATTTTTTTTAGGTTTAAGCTAGTAATCATCTAGTTATTTCTGGTTTAATTATAAATTTAAACTAGCATGCCTGGTCTGAGCTCAAGACCAGTGGGCAGCTGAAGAATAGAAAGAAAAAAAATTCAGAGCAAGTAATTCAGTTGACTAGATTGTTGCTGGAAAGTGAGGATTATGAATGTTACCAGGTTTGAGCAGAGTAAGGGAAAAATAATTTTTTTTTGAGCATACAAACAGTAATACTTTCTAATCAAACACTAGAAACACTATTTTTGAAAAAAATAATTACATGCCCTATATATGTACACAATAAGATTCTGGACACATTTTTTTACAGCTCTAATGAAATGCAGTTCTTACTATAGAGGAGAATTTGTTGTGCTAATTAGCACAATATATGTAAATGTGCAAGGAAGCAACCCTTCTGTTTTCAGACCTGAACTGTGTGACCCTTTAAGATAACTTGTATAGAATTTAATGACATTCAGTGTATCTGGTTTAGAAATAATAGTCTTTTCCCGGCATAAATGAACTAAGTGTCTTAGGTGTCCGTTCTGAAAAAGTCTTGTTTTGGTGAAGTGCCCTTGTACTAAATACTTCAGGAACAGTGGAATTTATTATGGACTCCCAACATAATTTTTACTTCATGGAGATGAATACCAGACTTCAAGTAGAGCACCCAGTTACAGAGATGATCACTGGGACAGACCTGGTGGAATGGCAGCTTAGGGTAAGTGTTAACTGATTTTACATGTAGAGTTCTTGGCTGGTAAATAATGTTCTTTGATACTGCCTGTGAGAGACCAGATACGTTTTCAGATCCTCGTCTCCTACTTAACTCATTGAGAAGAGTCTCCTTTGCTCTGAAGGAACATCTCATGTTACTGTATTTGATTGTAGAGCATTGTGTACATGCACTGAATTCCAACAAAGTCTTCTTCCAGTTGTGTATAGACAAAATATATTTCTGAGTATACTTAAAGAGATCATAGATCATGTGGAAAGTGGGAGAAGTAGGGCCCTGATCTTTCTCTTGCTATGCTGAAAAAAATTTTCAACACTACTTCAGGTGTATCTCAGAAATCATTCTTGGATCAGGCCATAGGTGGAAGACTCTTCATGAAAACGTGTCTAGTGTTATACCAGTATAGTCACATTCTAAAATATGTGTGTAGTTGTGTGGAATGGAAACAAGCTATTTCCTCACACACCAGATTTGCAGAGATTACTCACACGTTCAAATGATATCAAGAAGTTTTGGGTCTTAAGGAACTGGAAATAAAAAACAATTCTGGTAAGATAAATCCAAAAGTGAGAACAGCAGCAGAGGTGGAGCTTAGGTAGAAAGGGTGGCAGAGTGGTTAGTGTTACCAGAAAGAAAACTAAAATGGCAAATGTTGATGCAAGAAGGAGGAATTTTTGGCGTCCTGATCTGGGAATGGAAATTGAGCATTGAGTGCTAACTTGGAGCAGGGATCCAACAATACTAGAAGAAAGAGAAAGAAGCTGGAAAGGGTCAATAGTCTTGGCATGTGACTCAATGAGTCAATATGTGAAAAATGTCAGTTCTTGGAGAGATTATTTTTGTGAGTCTGTATAGTACTACTCTCTGCTGAAATCCACAGTTAGGTGGAAGAAGAGTATGGAGAGCCTCTGACACTTCAAAAGAAGATTAAACGTTGCTACAGATTTATTTTTTTTATAAGAACTTGTATTTTCCCATGTAGATGGAAATTGTATTGCTTCCTGGTAGAGGGTCTCCAATGTCCTTAACTGCAGCAGGCTTCTTGTTACTATTTTGTCTCTAAAAGTGCTATTTTTTTAGTCTCAGACTGGTGTATTGCTGGTGTTTATTGGTATTCCTCTATTTGGAATGTGAATTCCTTTGAGTAATAAAACAAGGCTTTGTCTCCCATTAAATATTCTTAAATTGTTAGAAATCCCCTTAGAGAAACATTCTCTAAAGTACACAGAAGAATCAACAGTGTATGCCAGTACTGGTAGCTGCCAGTAACCCATTTTAGCATCTGCTTTTGGAGCAATTTTTCTGTAATAACAAATTGCCTTAGTTAACCAGGCTTTAACTTAAGCACTTCTGTTTGTTTGTTTGTTTTTTACATAACAAGTAGGAAAAATTAGACTGGTTTTCCATTTTTTTTATATCTGTGTGAAGTATTAGGAGATCAATTTAGACAATAATAATTCAAATCCTTTGGTGATTGCCAAAGAAAAGAAATCAGTAACTTCAGAATTAGTCTTTTATGATCTACCACTTTTTTCTCCTTGTGCTTTTTAAAATGTGCTTTCTATTTGTTAATTTTTAGAAGAAAGATAGTAATATTTCATACACTGACACTCCTGAATATTGATCCTGTGTTAAAGAACAAAACTATTGTTTCCAGGTTGCAGCAGGAGAGAAGATTCCCCTAATGCAGGAAGAGATTCTGCTCCGGGGCCATGCATTTGAAGCTAGAATATATGCTGAAGACCCCAATAATAACTTCATGCCAGGGGCTGGCCCGTTGTTGCACTTATCCACCCCACCACCTGACAGTTTCACCAGGATAGAAACTGGAGTCAGACAAGGTAAAATGGAAGGCAGTGGTTTAATCAGAAATGTTTAACACCAAAGCATTTTGTTGTAAGCATTTCTTTCTTTGGCCTGAATAAGTTTGATGGGGTGTTGCTATAAAGGCAAGCCTCTACAGAATTATTCTTCCTTGTAACTGTCCGTGTACTTTTGGTCCATTACTGAATACTTTATTTACCTGTTTTCAAATAGTTGTCCATTGGATCATACTACTTGTATTCTCCTTGCAATTTATCAACCCTGCATTCTGATAGCAACATAAAAAAATTGAATTTGAGCAATGTTACCTTTACAAAAGTCTGTACTGAAGTTATCCTTGGAATTGAAATGCCAGGTCACATCCTTAAAGTTCTTTAAGGACATAGAGAAGTGTGACCATCAGTTCATTTTTAAAATATATTTCAGGTGATGAGGTTTCTGTTCATTATGATCCCATGATTGCAAAGCTCGTTGTGTGGGCTGAGGATCGTCCAGCAGCCCTGAGAAAGCTGCGGTACAGTTTGCATCAATATAATGTAAGTAGAAGGAACCCAGTATTGGTTATTTTAGATTCATTATTTGTTTGCAGAAGCTGTATTCTTTCCTAATTTGCAAACTGGCTTTGTTGGTAGAGCAGAGGTAAATGTGAAGTCTAGTTTTTATTCATAGATTTTTGTTAAGTTTGTGATATCTTCAGCTGGGTGATACAGCTGTAGAATGTGATGTAGCTGTACTGTAGAACAGTAAGGCCAAGCAACAGCATTTTCAATTTTAGTGTGTGCTTTCTCAAACATGAAGGAATTTGTAACTGGAATTTGTGTCAGACAATGTTTCCTTGTAATTTCTAATTTGTAAGCACGATTAAATTTTTAGACTGTACATGTGGTGAAGAAATATGGAGAATTTTTAAGCAATCACTTCTTTTTAAGAAGTGGTCCCTTCTGTAAAAACTACCGGTATTTTATCTGTTTTCAAAAGCAGAATTCAGAAGATTTAACTTGAGGTGAGACTGAATGTTATTTGTGCAGATTTAAGTTACACTTTTGAATCAACAACATAAACATGTTTGAGGTACTGAAAATGTTTGTCCCACTGTTGTTTTAGCTAACAATGAAGAGTGCTTCAGGTGAAAGAGAGAGAAGAATTCCCTTGGGTTTTTTCAGTTTTATTGGTAATTCTGTCTGTAATGTTTACAGTACAATATAGTTTCCAGTTTCACTGAGTTCTCTAAAATAGTTATTTCTATTTTCATATTGTTTGCTTAAGCATTATACACTACAGGAAATGTGCACTATCTAGTAAATTTATAAAAGTCATTGTTCCCATTTGTTACTATTAAAAGACAAAATATATATCTGAAACTATTATAACTCATTTTTAATAAGAGGTACTTTTCATATTAGGAATCTTCTTTTAAATGCTTCAGGGAGGTTTTCTGACACAGTGGATGTTTTTCCTAAATTACCTCCCATTCTATTACTGGGAAAATTTCTTTGACTTGACAGTGGGCAAAGGCAGCATTTTAGAGTGCCTTTGAGAAAGCTACTCCTGGCATTTTTTTTTTCTTTTCAAAAGTGATGGTTTCACTGGCAAAAAACAGGTGAATTCATTACATTTTATTGATAAAATTTGTGTTTTGGTAGTGCTATCTGAAGAAAGATTAATTTATTATCTCTACATAAGTTGAGCAGAAAGCTGTGTATTCATTTGTAACTTAATTTCAATTTGGCAATATTCTTCCTTTTATTTACAGATTGTAGGATTAAGCACTAATATTGATTTCTTACTGAGACTGTCAGGACACCCGCAGTTTGAGGCTGGAAACGTGCACACTGATTTCATTCCTCAACACTATGATGAACTATTTCCAACAAAAAAGGCAACTCCACATGAAGTTATGTGTCAGGCAGCTCTAGGGCTCATACTGAAAGAGAAAATGCTAACAGATGCTTTTAGAGATCAGTCAGATGGTAAGAATCATCACTTCTCTTTTAATTACTATTATTTTACTTGTGACTGCATCAGACAGTGCAGTGAGCTCCTGGGCAATTACTTAGTTTGTGTGTTCCCTTTTTGCTCTGCTTTGTGGCTGATCAGGGCTGTGCATTCTGGCCTCTGTCAGGGATGTACATGCAGAGCAGACTGTAACTTTTGTTAAGGGTCAGATATTGAATGTATCACCACTGTGGTGTATAGACTGCTTCCCACAGCCCTTCAGATAGTCACTGTCTGAAAGACCTTGGTTCTCTTTGCAAGGACAAATGGTGAGCATCTGCCACTATTATTTCTACAGTTGGCCCAGGGTCTTCAGAGATAAAATTGACTCTGCTAGGAGTGGGAGAGGCAGTAGGTTAAATTGAATGAACAGGACTCCAGGAACTGAGCGTGGTTGAGTTCTGACACTTCTAATGGCAGTATTGGTAGGGCATGTCATTGCTGTTAAGAAAAACTTAATAGAAATCTAATATATGCTGCCAGCAACCTTGTTAGTTTTCTTTGCCACTTGAACTATCATGGAAGCATGAGAAAGTGGCATTGGAAAGATTCCTACACACTATACCCTTGCTTCAAGAGCTGATGAACTAATCAGGCAATATCTGATAGCTGCGTATCTGGTCCATTCTCAAAACCAAGTAATAGAAAAGCCCTCAATCTCCCCAGGCAGTTTGCTGCCATCTTTGACTGCTCTTACAGTTGGAACTTTCACCTAAAGGTTAATCTGAATCTGCTGTCTGGCAGTTTAGTTCCCATGCTTTCTTGCCTGTTCAGGGATGTGTTTGTGGAAGACAGTTCCTCCTTCTTATTGATTGTTAAGTGTCAGTTGTAGGTTGCACAGCTTTAGTTTATTCAGTGTTGAAGCTTGAGTGAGGGATTGTCATAATCTATTATGGTGGTTCCCCAGTGTTTTATGTGCAATGTAAATATATATATGATGGTAGTAATAGTAGGACAGTTGAGTTTGTTGGTTTTGGCAAGTGTAAGTGTTGTGTTTTGCCAAAATAGAATAAAAGTAACATATCTGTTATGTTTTGTGTTTAGATAAATTCTCACCATTTGCATCGAGTACTGGTAGAAGACTAAATATATGCTATACTAGAAAACTGTCTCTGCTGGATGGGGAAAACAGTAAGTTAATGAAAATGTGTGTGGAGGGAGAGAAGGTACTTGATGAAATAAATTATTTAAACTGGTACTTGAAAATTCAGACTAAGAAGTAACAAATAGAAGCAGTATGAATTTTGTGCAATTTAAGCTGAAGATTCATGGACTTGCATGATTAATCCACACTCTTAGATCTTGAGGAGTGACAAACCGAGTTCAAATGACACTACTAATGTTCATAATTTAAATGAATAAGATTGAGGTTTTAAGAGAGCTGAGTACCACTGACTTTTTTTCTTGACTTCACTTTGGTGTCAAAGTGCTCAGCCATTTTTCACATAAAAAGATATGTTTTCTGTCCAGATAACTTATTATAGATTTCAGAGCATAACTTCAGGTGTTCATATTTGTAAATAAATTGTCTAGAATTTCAGTATGAAATCTGCAGTGTTTACTGAGCTAATCTGAAAATACTTACTCTTTTCTTAATGTTGGTAAGTCTGTCATTTTATGAAGAAAGACTAAATATTGTTTATATGTCATGATTCTCTAGATCCTATAATGAAATCTACTCACATATACATATTTTACTTTGTTGAACAGTTGTGGATGTTGCTGTAAGTTACAATCAGGAGGGGTCATACACCATGCAGGTACAAGTCCCATTTTTTTCAGATACTTCATTAGATAAAAGAAGAATCAGTTTCTTGTAGCCTTCTCTTGTTACTATTATCTCATGTCTTATTATTAGATGCTGGGTTGGCATGGAAGAGCTGCTAAAATAGTTCTGAAGATAAGGCTAAGAAAAGCATTTGGTTTTCCAGTATTTAAAGATCTTACTCTTTATTTTTCTCTTCCTTAAATTTGTCTTTCTAAAACACTGGAAGTTAGTGATCACTGTCAGTGATCTAATCATGTTACAGGGTCTTTGTTCAGTGGAAAGATAGCATGCAACTAGATTAATGAAGACTGAATGTCAGTAAAAAATACTGGATATTGATTATACTGATTTTTTTGTTTTTCCTGAGAAATAATATACCTTTGTATTGTGTTGTGTGCTATTGCTTAATTTATGAGCAAAATTTTCCTGTCCAGCTAATTATTATGAGATGATTGCATTGGATAGAGGGCACAGTCTATTAACTGAAAAATAAAGGATGCAAAAGATTAAAAAGACACTTTTTTTTTTTTTTTTTTAAATTCCAGATTATGAAGAATCACAGTTTGAGTGTATACTACAAACACTAACTTTTGGTTTCTTGTTCATGAAAGCTTAGACTTTGTTCTTATAAATGCATTTAACTTTCAGATTCAGGATAAAACATTCCTGACTTCTGGAGAGATCATCAATGAGGATGATTCAGTTTACTTGAGGTCTTCAGTAAATGGAACAGTGTGTAAGGCCAAATTGGTCATTTTGGACAATACCATTTATCTCTTCTTTCCGGTAAAGTTCCTTTCTTTCTTATCACAAGTATAAAATTTCAGAGTTTTATCCATTGAAATATGAATAGAAATTGCAAGAGAATGTGAAAGATAATTGTTATTTCAGGTTCTTGTATTGGCCCATAATGTTCTGATACTTGTTGGATTTCTAGCTGTCGTCAGAATTTAGTCATTTATGGTCAGTGAGTAAGAAAGTAAGTTAATTTTAAAAAGATTAAATACAATTAGGTGAATCTGAGTTGCAAATGATTGTTTGGGAGGGGGGAACATAAAATGTTAAAATGATCAAGTATCTAAGTTCATCATAGAGCAGCAGTAACTTCAGACTGACAACTATTTGTAATTGGTATTTTTATATCAGTGTATTAAATTATAAGAAAAATTGTGGTATCAGAATGGAGGCTGAGGTGGGGGATCTGGACGAACTCAGAGCTTTGGGGTATGGGTAGGATATGTGGGGAGAACAAGTCTTTGGGAAGCTCTATAGCAAGTCTGAGGAGTTAGGGATTCTGAGTAACAGTGACAATTTTTCACCAAACCTATTACTGAAACAGTTTTATTCTCAATTCTGAAACACTTAAACTGGCAATGCTTGGCAATGAAGATGCCAGTGTCTGTCTTGTCACAGGAACCTGCTTGCCCCTTGTGCAAACAGCCTTTATGCATTTTTCCAAAACCACCTGTGCTGTTGCTGTGTGATGAGGGAAGGGGTGGGTTTGGGACAAAGGACCATGTGAAGCTCGTTTGTCACAGAGGTAGTTCCTTCCTTGCTGATCCCAAGCAGCAGCAGGTGTGGCTTTTAAGGACTTAGAATAGGCAGAGTAGTGAGGCGTGGTCAATGTCTTTTTGCTGTCCTGAGCCCAGCAGTCTGCCACCCTAAACATTTGGCTGAGTTGCCTAAAGATGGATCTGTTCTTTCCCTGGATGTCAGCATGTCTACTAGTGGTGGTATTTCATGTTGTTCACTCACATGTCATTGATTTTATTCCTGTAGGAAGGCAGAGCTCAGATTGGCCTTCCTGTACCCAAGTTCTTGTCTGCAGTGAGTTCAGTGGGAGTGCAGAGTGGTGCCATAGCACCCATGACAGGCACAGTTGAAAAGGTAATTATAATTGTATGCGTAGGAATTCATTTCTCCAATATACATCTAAGTTTGTTGTTCCAGAAATGGTGCTTATTTCTGTGCTGCCACGATAGAATCAGAGCCAGAAATGTCAGTGCTGTGTGGCTTCTCCCAGCTGGAAAGAGCCCTGGTTGCTCTGACTTCCAGCAGTCACCCTAGAGGTTTTCAGGCTTCTAGTCTTCTTTATCTAGAGCTGTGGAAGATATTACTACTTAGCTAATCCTACTACTGAATAACTTTTTCTTCATATTAATTACTTTCTTAGTCAAAGTTTCCTGAGGCTATTTGATCCATCTCATCTAACAAAAAATAAAAAGAGCCCCAGAAATTTATTTTGTTAAGCTGAGTGTTTTGCTACTTCTGTTTCTGTTTTTGTTTCTTTTTCTTTAGCTCAGCAAGTCTTTTCTGTACAGTGGAAAAGTTTCAAAAGGAAAGCTTGATTTCCAGGAGTGTAGTAGTTTCTGGTAGCAATAAAAAGGCATGAACCCTTTCACAGGGTGGAGTACATTGAGCACAGAGCTCTTACATAGTGAACGGTCTAAATCAGTTACTGTAGTAAAACTAGGTGGTTCCTGCAATCTTCTTTCTAGTGGCTGGCTTCAGGAAGAGGTTCTGGATTTCTCTCTCAAACTACAAGTTTTTAAGCACAGAAAGGTAGAATATACATTGTTATGTTTCTTCTTTGATAAATAAATGGCTTCTTGGTCATCCTGTTAGCTGTTACTGAACCCTTTTCTAAAGCCTCCAACACTCCTTGAGTATTACCTAGAGAACTCTGATACCCAATTCAACAATGATAAAGATATGGGCTGTTTTTGCAAAACCACAATCACTCAGTGGATTGTGCTAGCCAACAGCCAGCTGATGATTTTTAATAGTACAGACATGCATGATTTTTTTTTTTCCCAATTTTGTCTTAAATTGTAGGTGTTTGTGAAAGCAGGGGATAAGGTTCAGACTGGAGACCCTCTAATGGTTATGATAGCTATGAAAATGGAGGTGAGTGACATGCAAAAGGTATTAATTACTGATAAAATGAAAATCTCATGATATAATCATTTGTGGTTGCATTATTGAAGCATGGTGCAGATTATAGCTTGCAGACGTCATGATCGCTTTATACGCTGTAAAAACGTGTGTCTGACTAGATTTTAGAGGATTATATTTGTTGCTATTTTATTAACAAATTATGATTATATAATCCAGGGTATTCTGCAGATGTTTTAACATTCATTTGGTTAGTTTTGTCAACCTTTTGTCAACCCTTCTCTCCCCTCCCAAGAAGCCAATATTTTTTTTCTAGCAGGAAACTGTCTAGGTATCTCTCTTGCTGACTCTCTGGGATATAAGGAGATGCCTGCAGTTATTTCATGCAGAAATGTAGCTGATAGTGGCTTTGTAAATATGCCCAGGATTTTTTGTTGTTGTTGTTGTTTATAATATTATTATTTACATAATGTTTTACCAAGAGTACACTGAAGAGTCTTTGTAGTTGTCCGTGTGGCATTCAGTGGGCTAGTATTTTGGCCAATAGATCTTGTCACAGTTGCTTGACTGTGGCTCACATTGCTTGAACTATACTTTTTGTAGCCTGAACTGGCTATGTTCGGCTTTTAGTTTCTTCTAAACTTCAGCTTGTGGTAGCAGAATTAATGTTACTGAGAAAATTTGTCTTTCCCTTATTGTGCCCTTTTATAAATTACACTAAAATTACATGAAATACAGCATCTGTGCACTAATAAATTTACACTTAAAATCATTTGCAATTGGATGCTAAATGTTTGTGCCTCTCTAGCTGATATCTCAGACTGACACTGAGTTGATGGTTTTTTTCTCCTCAGTGCTATTCAAATATAAAAGGTAAAATTTGAAAAGCTTATAATTCTTTAAATGAATTATTGCTTAGATGTGAGGATTTAATATCTGATATTAGACTATTTGCAAAATTACCAAGAACAAAACTTCATTGGAAAATGTAACTTGATGGAAAAAAAAGTAGATCAGTTTGGGGATTGGTATGTACACATGCTATTCCTTTATTGTCACTAGAAGCTGTATTTGTATTTAATCTGGGTTTTGCCAAATATGCAAGTAAAAATATCATTACTAAATCTGTAGATTCCTCTTAAGGGAACAAATCTGCTATGTGGTTAACATTTTGGACTGAAAGGGTATTATTTCTGCCTGGTATTTATTATAATAACAAAATTATTAGTGAAATAAAATAACATTCTCACTGTTTATACTTCAAAATAACATGTAGCATTTTTGTCCCCAGTATACTTATAAAAAAAAATACTGATGAGAAAATAAAACTTAAAAAAGGACTAGAGTAACATTTTGAAAGTAGGTTTAAAATAAATATACGTGTCAGAGGAAGCAATTAAGTGTGTTCTGTTCTAGTTTTACCAAGAGTAATATTAGCTGGAGAGAAAGGGGAGAAAAAGAGAAAAAAAGAACTCTGATTATTCACTATTGATCTGTTTCTATGCAGCATACCATCAGGGCTCCAAAATCAGGAGTGATTAAAAAGGTTAATTTCCAAGAAGGTGCCCAGGCCAATAGACATGCTGCACTTGTTGAATTTGTGGAGGAAGAGGATGAGTCAAAATAAAGTCCAAGGAAGGTGCATTTTAATTTTTTTCTACTTTGCTGGTTTTCTCTCAGGAGAAGATTACTTTGTATTTTCAGCAAATTGTTTTGTGTAATAGATCAGGGGATTGGTTTCCTCTGCACTTCCTGAATTGTTTGACTGTACATTATGCTGACTTTATGGAGACTTGGATATCACTATACTGTAATTGTTTATAAAACTTGTGGACCTATGTGACTGTTGTTCAGTGGTCATGTTTGCCTGTGAGAAGGCATTGGCCTGGGAGAAGATGTGGATCTCAAAGGATGGGAGAGGTTATAAATAACTAAGTTACAGACAGATATGATTGATTGTTCTGCCTATTGTTACATTCACAGCTGCCTTTTTTGCCTGAGATGTGAGAACATTGATTTGAAGGCAATCTGAAAGGTGATAGTTGTATGAATTAATTTATCTGGCAAAATTCCTGTTTGTGGCTTATGCTTTTGCCTGAATAGGGAATTCAGGATTTTTTTCCTTAGCCCAGGATCCTTTATGGCCAATTTTGGTGCATCTTTTTTTCCCATTTACCTCAATGAGGAGTGGAAATTTGCATTTCAAAACGTATTTTAATATACTTTGGAAGATCTGATATAGAGCATTTAAAAAATATTTATTACCATATGCAACACTAATCAAAGCTGGAATTAATCTGCTTCCCAAAAATGTAATTTGATCTTTTAACATTAATTCATAGCACAGAATGATGATGTTTATTTAATACTTGGAAAGTGTGTCAAAATAAAATGCAGACTTGATAATCATCATTAGTTTTCCCATATTGTTTACATTTTAATATGTTACTTATTGGCTGGAGTAAAGTATATCAAAGTCTTTATAACAATGTGAAATATGACTGAATAATAGAGGGTTTTTTTTGTATCTGCAGTGTTGCAGAAAGAAAAATTGGTAGATTTTTGTATATTCAAAGAAAGTTTCTCGGATGCAGCATATTGATCATTTGCCATAAATTTACTTAAAGTTGTTGATCAAGCACCTCAGAGAAACAGGAAAAAGGAAATAAAAATAGATTTTAATTTTCAAAAACTTTCAAAATCTCTTCACCTCTTAGTTAAGGTGAAGTTCTGCTTCTTAAATGAACTTCTGATACACTAATTTAAGATGATAGCATGGTTTATACTGCAGGAAGGAACACACAAAGATGCTGCAGTGATCCCAAACTTGTAGTTACATCTCTGCAAATGGATTCTTCTACTTACTGGAATCTCATTTCCAAATCAATATACAATGTCAGAGGGAGTTCTCTGATCTGATTCTGTAACTGTGCAGCCTTGCCTGATTTGCAGGCAAAAATTGTTAAAGAAGTAATGGCTCTGGATGGTCTGTATATTCAAGGCATGCAGTAATACTTTTCAATTTTCTTGGTAATCCAATGGCCACCTAACAAAAAATTACACTCTGGTGATCACCATGTAGAATATTGTCACAATGATTTTTATTTACTGCCAAATAAAAATTAAGCTTAACTTTGAACATTTATTTTCATTTTTCTCCATTTTGTTCTTTCCTTGGTTGCTAATGTTTATGCATTAGAGGGTTTTAAGCAGCTGTTTATGTATCATCATCTGATATCTGACAGGCCACAGTCTGCCCATCACATTTAGGAGGCAGTAACCCAAACAGTCATAATGGATTTCACTGCAGGTAAGTTTAGTGACTTGTTTTACCTAAAAATTGAAGCTACATGTAGAAACATGAGCTCAGTCATGAGGAGTCACTTCTTTCTACCTGATATTGCTGTGTTCCTAGACCTGCTTCACTACCTGGAATCTGTAGTGAAACATTAAAACTCCCAGTTTTTGAGGTTCTCTGTGCCCTATTCCTGCACTGCTGGCTTCAGCCAGCCAGTGGAACAGGAACATGTTCCTTGGAAGCTGACAAAAGGGCTCCCTTAGGATTGGAGACAAAAAATTTTACCAGTTTTAATTTTCCTTCAGTTCTGAAAATTAGCTATTAGGTTTTTCCTCTGTAGGTTTCCACTGAAATGGATTTTTCAAATAGTGGTGGTTTTGTTTATTGCAGAATAAAATCTCTTGCAGAAGTCACTGTCAGAATTTGCATGCTTGAAATGTTTTGCTGCAATGTGATTAAATTGAACCTAGAAATGAACAAAGAATTGCTAAAGGTAGGCTATTCCTGTAACCCAGAATTTTAATTTACAAAATATTCAGAATTTTTCAATTTATTACAAACCCTTGTGTTACAGCTGTGAATTGGTAAGAGCAGTGTGATAGTAACACAGCTGTAACCTGACTGTTAGTAATTATTAATATACGTTTTCAAATAGTGCTGTAGTTGTGATACTAGAGAGTCAGAGATATTACTGATTCTAATTGTAACAATCTGCTCCGCTGCCAGAGGGTAGAGGGATCTGGGTCATAGGATTTGTAGTTCAGCCCCAGTTGATAGTCCACAGGAAAGAACGAAGGTGTTTGTGTTCCAGGTTATGGCTTCTGGGAGGCAGGGCCAGAGAGTAACACTCTGGGTGACCTTACTGGTCAGCTTGTTACATCAGGGATGTATCATCCTGCTTGGTGGAGTGCAGGTTAACATATCCTGAGCTTCAGTTACCCAGCTGCGTGCATTTCTGGCTCTCTTCAGCTCCTATCAGTTATGACAGCTCACACCCAGGGTGAGCTGTGGGGCAGAACCTGAAGTCCTGCTGA